TAAACCCTCTCAGAGGACATTAAAGATCCCATGACACCAATATAAAAGGAGGAAGTTCCTTTCAATGTCCTGCCCAACAAACCTCCAGATTAGTTGAAATCAACATTGACTAAGCAGAGAGAGGGAAAGGGCAGGTGTCCCTTCCTCTGATCAGACTAATGGATGAAAGACATCCTGCGTTATTATTTGGAGAGCTCAGATGTTTGGTTAACTCATCAGAACCAAGTAAATTTGCGACTGCCTATTTCTAAACTTAAAAGCCTTCCATAATGTCTTTGGTAAATGGACCCTCATTGTCCTCTTTAGGAACAAGGGCATGCGCATTGCTCTTTATTTGGCCAGTTGCAAACTGAAACTAAATCTCCCCCTACTCTATCCCCCTTACCTTCAGTCCATTCCTTCATTAAATAAATAGCTAATCCATTAAATCTGCTGACACAATCCAAAAGTTCATCAGCTCCATCTCGCACACAGTGGGGCAATGATCGATCAGCTTTGTTTGGCGAGTTGTGTTAAGGGACAAATAGTAGAACATAAGAACTTCACAGTTCTTCTTTACTGTAAAGTGAATTGACTGTATATTTTGTGGGTGAAGCATGGAAGTTAATCGCATACAGCAGTGTCCCACAAACAGTCATGGATTGAGTGACCCAATTTTTTTTGATGGATTATTACCCCCAGAAAGTGATCCACCAATCGACTAACAATCGGGTTCCTACTTACAACACAATGACTTGAATTTATATAGCGCCCTTCATGTGGGGTAGTGTCCCCGAGTGCTTGACAGCGGTGGAATTTGACAATGAGCCAGAGGAAGAGGAAAACGGGAGATGACCATAAGTACAATCAAAAAGGAAGGTCTTTATGTAGGATTTGAAGGTGGGAAGGGAGAGGGCAATGCAGAGGGACTGAGGGAGAGAGCTCTAGTGTTTCAGGACATAGTGGCTGAAGGCACAGCCACCGATGGTGGAACGGAGGGGATGAGAGACAAACAGGAGGCCAGAGCCAACCGAGCAGAAGCAGCGGGTGGTGGAGTGGGGGGCAGGGAAGTGTGAGGGCATGAACATTTTTTTCACCCAACGAGTTGTTCGGATCTGGAATGCATTACCTGAAAGGGTAGTGGAAGCCAATTTAAAAGCAACTTTTAAGTGAAAAGTAGATGATTATTTGGGAAGAACAGGATTGCGGGGTGGAGAGAAAGCAGGCCAGTGGGATTGAGTTGGATTGCTCTTTTAGGAGCTGGCGCAGAAACAATAGGCCAAATGGCCGCTTTCTGTGCTGTATGATTCTATGATTCTATGAAGGGATTTTGAAAACGAGTGAGAAGATCTTGAAATCGATCCATTTGGTGATTGGGAGTCAGTGGAGCCTGACAAGGACTGGGGTGATGGGGGTATGGAGTTTTGTGCAGGTGAGTATATTTTGTGGGTGAAACACGGAAGCTAATTAAACACAGCGGAGTTAGAAAGGAAAATCGGGGATTGAACCATATGCCGAAGTTGCGCACGGGTTCCGAGAGTGTGAGGGAGAGCCCAAAGAGGTTCAGACCCACAGGAGAGAAGATGTTGACGGGAGCCAAAGGGTATATGACTTCCATCTTGCAGACATTCAGCTGCAGGAAATTTGCTGCCAGGTAAACAGAGATAAGTGGAGTAAGGAAACTTACCTCGCGTTTCATCCCAGCCAGGAATCGAATCCTGGTCCTCTCGCTTGCGAGGCAAGCGGGCTTACGCTATAAGACTGCATGAGTTAAAGTAATTATTACATTGTTCATTCACCTTTGCACATTAATGAAGTTTGTCACTTCTTGTGGACCTGTCTGGGTTTGGTTGCCTCTATCATTACTTGTTTATAAGCTTTTCATAAAGAAATAATTTACGAAGATGATTAAAAACAGGGGACTTTACGTGAGTCATGTACAGTTAGTATAAAGTCTACTGGGTGATGATTAGTAAATGGGAACCTCTTCCCAATGGGTACAGACAATAGTGTTTCATCCACAAAATACACAGTCACTCTACTTTCCAGTATATTCTGTGAAGTGCTTTGAGACGTCTCAAATTAATGATAAGGCGTTGTATCAATTGCAAGGCTTATTAATTGCAGCCCCATTACTGAGATCTTCTAACACAGCACGGGATGAGCCAGAGAGAGCAAGTTTGTTCATCAACATCACCATTGAGACCAACCTCAACTTAATGAGCCGGTTATCAATGACATTCATTTGAAAGATAGTTAATCAACGCAATATTAAGCTGCTTCATCTGAGAGACCATTCCACACATCTATTATTATTCTACACTCTATACTTATGTCCTAAGGCTCAGAGTTCAAAAACTCATTCACCTTCACTTTATCCACTATCTTTCAGCATTTTTAAGATATTTGTTTTTATCTGTAAATAGTTGACATATTGTGTGATTTTTTAGTTAGTTATTGGTCGGGCTTCACGATGTCCAAAGATTGTAATGTCAGCAGAGTCCATGAAAGTGCTGAGAAAACACACAAACACACAGTCACAGCACTTCAGTGTTCGTCCAGTGAAGCACTTTCGGATTCCTCCTGACACTGTGAGAGGTACTGGACCAAATTCAAGGATTATTATAATAATAAATGAACCAAACCAAGCAAAGGGAGAAAAAAAACATGGGAATATTTCACAAGCATCATACAAGGCAGCTTTTGTACTCTCTGTGAATGAACTCAATAATGGGGAGTGTGAGGGGGGAGATTCAACATCCTGAACCTTGGAAGACGTAACTTGTAAACAATGAGCAAGTACGTGACTAGTTTGTTGAATTTGTTACAACAGGTGCCTATTCTGGCTGAATAGATAGAACCATCAAAAGGGAACTGGATACACATCTGAACCTTAAAAACACGAGGAATCCAGGAAAAAACAGTGGGATTAATATAAATATATACCTGAAAAACACAGGTAACAATGGCACTACACTTAGACTCTGTTCTGGCTCCTCTGTGAACTGGCTGCTGAGACCTGACTGAATGCTGAGATTGGTTCATTGGAAACCCCAGTGTGAGGCCAAGGTGTAAGAAGTAGCTGGTTCCAGGTTTGTAGGAGTGCTGTAGTGTAGTGGGTAGCGTGCTCACCTTGCAAGGCGAGAGGAGCACAACCTTTACTCCATACCCCTCTGTTTACCCAGCAGTAAGTAGGAACCGGTTGTTACTCGATTGGTGGATCACTTTCCAGGGTAATAATCCCTCAAAAAAAATGTGGTCACTTAATCCATGACTGTGTGTGGGAGACTGCTTTGCACAATCAGCTGCCCTATTTACTAATAATCATTATTATTGTTAACTCTGGTCTGCTGGAGCACAGAGCGTGATCAACAGCTAGAAGGCTCACAAGTTGCTATGTGTTACACATCATGCAACAGTTGGGTTCATTACTAAGGTGGGTTTGTTAACTATTATTGTCCGCCCGGCTCAGTGTGTGGGTCAGCCCGGCTCAGTGTGTGGGTCAGCTCGGCTCAGTGTGTGGGTCAGCCCGGCTCAGTGTGTGGGTCAGCCCGGCTCAGTGTGTGGGTCAGCCCGGCTCAGTGTGTGGGTCAGCCCGGCTCAGTGTGTGGGTCAGCCCGGCTCAGTGTGTGGGTCAGCCCGGCTCAGTGTGTGGGTCAGCCCGGCTCAGTGTGTGGGTCAGCCCGGCTCAGTGTGTGGGTCAGCCCGGCTCAGTGTGTGGGTTAGCCCGGCTCAGTGAGCGCTTTCACCTCTGAGGAAGAAGATTGTGGGTTCAAGTCCCCACATCCAGACTTGGAGTCACATAGTCTAAGATGACACTGCAATGCAGCACTGAAGGGTGTTGCATTGTCAGAGGTGCCAACCTTTGGATGAGACAAACTTGCTGCCATGTTCGCCCATGTGATAAGGCGCTACATCAAATGTTCGAGTCTCCACAGAAAGTTGACAGCCTAGGGTTCCTTCGTGTCTGTGCTGGTGGGAGCAAGTTCCTGCATCACCTGGAGTAGGTGAAAGAGTAACAACCTTGAGGCTATGTGGTGGGGGGAACAGAAGTCAAAAGTATTACAAACTGATGCGGTAACAACACTAGGAACTTGTGGGGTTGAAGAGTCCCCTACTCTTGTAGAGTTTGCAGGGGAAGAGGGATTCCGTGTGGGCTCAGGCTCCTGGTCCCACAGTAGAGAACTCACAGCAATAACCCCAGCAGCGTTACCAGACGTGTTAAATCCAGGGTATTTTTATTCCTTCCAGTGACTGACTTGATCAGACATCCACATTGAGTTTCTTAAAATTTACTTAAATAAAAAAAGTCAACCGTTTTCTCTCTTTAGGAGATAGAATCCATCATTTTCTCAGGAATAAAACCCAAATTCCAGAATCTGCTTAGCAGATAAAACACATCCCAGAATCAACACATGTCCAACATGTGGGCATGTGTTAACACCAAACAGGAACCTGTATGTCCAGGTGTCAGACTGAACGTTCATGTCTGTCAGCAGCAGGCGGGGGGGGGGAAGAGGTGTATACCACCTTCTCCTTTGACCTCCACTCCCCCCTCCCCACCACTTGTCATCCTGCAATCAGTAAGGGTGGGGAGGGAGGGAGATAGGGTATCAGTACAGTTAATAACACAGAGAGCAGCACAATCACATTGCCCCCGCACCAACTATGCTGAATGTCTCTGTGACTATCCCTCCCCACCACTTGATCCCAAGCCCGCATCAGGGGAAATAAACTTCATTAAGGATATTAATAAAGCGTTCCCCCCCCAGCCCCCCACGCTCCTCGCCCGCGGCTCTAGCTTCTTCAGCAAATCATCAAAAAACAAAAACTCATTCTAAAACCAAAATCCACAGGTCAGGTTAAAGTGCCGGGTCAGTTTATGTGTGTGCTCATGTGCGTATATGTGCGTGTCTACACGTGTGTGTCTACACGTGTGTATGTATGTATGTGTGTGCATGTGTGCGTGTGAGTATGTCTGTGTATGTGTGGGTGCATGTGTGTGTATGTGTAGATGCGTGTGTATGTTTGTATGTATGTGTCTGTTTCTGTGTGCGTCTGTCTGTCTGTCAGACGTTTCCCCCTAATATTCTGTTAATCTTTCCGCTTCACATTCTCTCTTGCTCTAACTTCCAATCTGTGTAAAGTAACATCTCCACATAAAGTACAATACAGTAAGTCCATCAACTGTTTCCTGGCCACACGTTGGCCTCCAGACTCCTCCAACTTAAACCACTCGTACACCTGACAAGAATTGGAGCTTTTCATGTCCTGGAGATGTCTCACATGATTTCACACAATGAAGTGTAATGCAGTGACTGTGTACTTTGGAGGCAAACGCAGCAGCCAATTTGCATGAGGCGATGTTCCACAAACAGACGCAAAACAAACGAACATCTTAGAAATAACAGGTGTCCAAGCTGCGGGCAGGAAGGTGGTGGCAATGTTCTCGCGCATTTCACACTGAGCTGTGTTGCCCAACAGGAAAGTCAAGTTACCTGCCATCACCTGGCAAGGGCTCAAACTCACACGATTGTCAGACATCAAACAAGCAATGAGTGACTGTCTTGGTGGCAGAGGGGAGTTGCGAGGTCTCCTTGGGGCTGATGTGGCTCCAAGGCGACGTATTTGGTAACGGAATCACATTGACCCTCACGCTTAGACGGCCTCATATGGTCCAGTTGCTGAGCTAGGCGGGTACTCAGGCCTCCAGGGCAACTGCTTCCACCTCAGGTTCACCCCAGAGTAGACAAGCTGAGAGTGAGGAGATGTCCGCTCGCTCGTCCACCCACCCGCCCACTCTGTGTCCGCACTCTCAGGCCGTACTCTCCAGATGCTCCAGCTCCGTGGCGCTGGCCTTTCCTGGACGTTTCTTGCGCCGGAATTCCTGGGCGATCTCCTCGAAGGTCTTCCCCCTTGTCTCCGGCACCTTGAAGTAGGTGAAGAGCGTGAAGCCGAACAGCAGCCCCGCAAAGATAATGAACACGTACGGACCACAGAGTTTCTGCCAAGACACAGGTCACATCAGCATCACAATAAATATTAATAATAATAATCCTTGCATTTGATACAGCGCTTTATTACGACGTTAAAATGTCTCAAAGAGCTTCACAGGATACACTGTAAAGTGAATTGATTGTGTATTTTGTGGGTGAAACGTGGCAGCCAATTGCGTACAGCAGCGTCCCACAAACAGCTGTAGATTCGGTGACCAAATTATTATTAGTTTGTTTTTGAAGGGATTATTGCTATCGGAAAGTGATCCACCAATCAACTAACAACCAGGCTCCTACTTATGGGAAGTTAGTAGGGAATGGGATTAAAGTAGAGAGCTCCAGTGGGGAGTGAGCCAGGGCTCGGTGTGTGTGACTCTCACCGCCATGTATGGGAAGCACATTCCCACGATGAAGTTACAGGTCCAGTTGCAGAAGCCGGCAACTGTCATGGCTGCCGGCCGCGTCCCTTGGCTGAATAACTCAGCCACAATAAACCATGCAATGGGACCCGGGCCGATCTCGAAGAAGACGATGAAGAGGAAGATGGCTGACATGCTGACGAAGCTCATCCAGGTGATGGAGTGCTGTCGAGGAGACAAGAGACACCGTGAACAGGGGACGGTCAGGACATAGCAGTGTACATACCAACACTGCCCCCAGGTACACACAAAGGCATATACACATGCGTACCCACACGTGTGTACACACCAACATTGCCCCCAGGTACACACAGCCACACACACAGGTGTACACAGTTACACAGAGACAGGCACACACACATACAAACTCGCGCGCACAAACACACATGGTGTAAACACACTGCCACACATAGAGCCCAGCTGTGGTGACTGTGCCGTGTTGTGGCTGACTAGCACTGACCTGTAACACCTGGCCCACGGTCATGGCCACGGCACACAGGCACATGCCGGCCAGGCCCAGCATAAACAGACTGCGGCGCCCAGCCCGCTCCACCAGGAACACCTGCAGAGAGAACCAAAGAGAGTCACAAGAGCTCAGACTGACTGTGCTCCCCCTGCCCCACTCCCCATCCCCCCCGCCCCACTCCCCATCCCCCCCGCCCCATTCCCCATCCCCCCCGCCCCACTTCCCGCACTCCCCCCAAACCCCCAGCTCACCTCACCCCCAAACCCAATAACCTCTTTTCTGGCTGTTGATTAACGTCTGGAGACACAGCTGCTGCCTGGAATCTCACTGACACAACTGTAACCAGAGGCTGTGCTCAGTGGGGCTCTGACCCACTGCTTACAGTTTAACTAGCGGCCTTCGCGACAGTTAACTGATCAGAAATTATTAACTGCCCTGAGCTGAACGTTTGACCCCCATCTAGCCACCTTGTCATGTTGACAAACTGTGTCGACATCAATATAAAATGTCCGCCTGACCTGTGCTGGATTAGGTGCCACCCTGTTGGGCACCGCAGCCTGGCATGGAGATTCAACACCATACATGGGCGGGTCTCTGACACTTGCAGATACCTATCACCATCACTTAAGGGTCTCCAAACCCAGCTGAGGTTTCCATGCCTTCCAGCTACCTGGAGACACATCCTGCTTAACTAATTACAGTGAGTATTAGGCATAGGTTGGCGAGAGCCAAGGCTTGGGGAGCCCAGAGTGTGCATTGGGGTAACTGCTGGAGTCTAACCAGCTAAAACCACTTAGCTTACCATTGAGAGCACTGTCTGGCAAACTTTCCTGCTGCTTGTCCAGCTAGGACCACCCTACCCTTTATGCCTCCGGGATTAGGTAGTGGGGAGGTTTCAAACTTGATGAACGGGAGAACAGAGAGCTTGCTTCCACTGATCGGTGAGTCAGTAACAAGAGATCATAAACTCCCACTCTGTGGAGTGTCAGCCTAGACTGTGAGTCAAAAGTCCCCAACGTGGGGCTTAATCCCACTGACCCATGACCCCAGGGGTGAGGGTCTGAGCCAGCCTGAGCCACCAGCAATTGATTACCAACCCCCACCTCATGTTAAACATTGTGAGGCTGTGTGACTAAGTGACGGTTACTCACAGACACGGCAGTAGCGATCATGTTGACCGCTCCCACACCGATGGTGGCGTAGTCAGGATGGGAGACACCAGCCACCGCGAATATACTGGTGGAATAGTAAAATATCTAGAGAGAGGGACACAGACACAGAGCGTCACACAGCGCTCCAGCACAGCTCACTCGCAGCACAACATCAAACTAACTGGACACCATTGGGATTCAACACGTTTCATCCACAAAATACAGTCACTCCACTTTACAGTATATTCTGTGATGCGCTGTTTGACGCGTTGAAGACATGATAAGGTGTTGTATCAAACGCAAGTATCATTATTATTATTCAGGGTTGATTTGCAGTGAGGGGGAGCGCTTACAAGATTTGTATCACTACACTGTATTTAGAGATGTTTCATTCTATTGGGGATTGTGTGATAATCATCTCATTCCATGTCGCGTTGTTGCACCACATGGGTCTAGCTGCCATGGTTTGGGATATATAATATATATCCTTAATAATGCTTTGAGATTGCGAAAGTAAACTAACTGTGTATTTTGTGGGCAAAACATGGCAGCCAATTGCGCACAGCAGTGTCCCACCAACATCCATGGATTGAGTGCCCAATTTTATTTGAGGAATTGTTGACCAGAACACCAGGAAGGGAGACAATCCCTTCTCTCTGTCGCGGCTCCCCCACGGCCTGTCGCGGCTCCCCCACGGCCTGTCGCTGCCCGGCTCCCCCACGGCCTGTCGCTGCCCGGCTCCCCACGGCCTGTCGCTGCCCGGCTCCCCACGGCCTGTCGCTGCCCGGCTCCCCACGGCCTGTCGCTGCCCGGCTCCCCACGGCCTGTCGCTGCCCGGCTCCCCCACGGCCTGTCGCTGCCCGGCTCCCCACGGCCTGTCGCTGCCCGGCTCCCCACGGCCTGTCGCTGCCCGGCTCCCCACGGCCTGTCGCTGCCCGGCTCCCCACGGCCTGTCGCTGCCCGGCTCCCCAAGGCCTGTCGCTGCCCGGCTCCCCAAGGCCTGTCGCTGCCCGGCTCCCCACGGCCTGTCGCTGCCCGGCTCCCCACGGCCTGTCGCTGCCCGGCTCCCCACGGCCTGTCGCTGCCCGGCTCCCCACGGCCTGTCGCTGCCCGGCTCCCCACGGCCTGTCGCTGCCCGGCTCCCCACGGCCTGTCGCTGCCCGGCTCCCCACGGCCTGTCGCTGCCCGGCTCCCCACGGCCTGTCGCTGCCCGGCTCCCCACGGCCTGTCGCTGCCCGGCTCCCCACGGCCTGTCGCTGCCCGGCTCCCCACGGCCTGTCGCTGCCCGGCTCCCCACGGCCTGTCGCTGCCCGGCTCCCCACGGCCTGTCGCTGCCCGGCTCCCCACGGCCTGTCGCTGCCCGGCTCCCCACGGCCTGTCGCTGCCCGGCTCCCCATGGCCTGTCGCTGCCCGGCTCCCCACGGCCTGTCGCTGCCCGGCTCCCCACGGCCTGTCGCTGCCCGGCTCCCCACGGCCTGTCGCTGCCCGGCTCCCCACGGCCTGTCGCTGCCCGGCTCCCCACGGCCTGTCGCTGCCCGGCTCCCCATGGCCTGTCGCTGCCCGGCTCCCCATGGCCTGTCGCTGCCCGGCTCCCCATGGCCTGTCGCTGCCCGGCTCCCAATAGCCTGTCGCTGCCCGGTTCCCTGCTGCCTCTCACCGCGTTGATGCCGGAGAATTGCTGTGCCAGGTGCAGCACCAGAGCCACGATGATGGGCTGACGGTAGCTGGAGTTGTAGAACAGTTGCGGGATGGAGACCTTCTTCTCTCTCTGAATCTCGTCTTTCTCCTTCTTCATCTCCGCAATGTCCTTGTCAGTGTTACACGGGCCCAACAGCTGCTGGAGGCCTGAGACACAAACTCCATGTGAACCCCGGCTCCAACAGCCCCCCGGCTTCGAGCCGCCACCTCCCCACTTGCCCCCAGAACCCCGCCTCCCAGACACCACCTCCCCCAGAACTCGGCCCCACACACACACACACACACACACACACAACTTCAGCCCATTCAGAGATTAAGCACAAGAATACACACAGCACATGACACACTCACTCAATGCACACACAACAACAACTTGGATTTATATAGCACCCTCCATGCCGGACGGCGTCTCAAAGCGCTTTAAACACACATACACACACATATACACACGAACGCATGAATGCACGCACACACGCAAAAGTTTCCAGGAAGCTTCACAGTTATGTTAACCAACCACATTCCACCCGGAGGGGTTGAAACGCACGGAGATTCCCGACTATGTCAACACTAGTGAACAGCCACTCAGCAGTCACAGTGCAGGGGGTGTGTGTGGGTGTGTGTGTGTGTGTGAGGTGTATATTGTGTTCCTATATTACACTGTCTCTGGTTACAAACACAGTCACGACCATAGATATCACAGAGGATGCAGTACCTGCATTTCAGTATTAAAGGAGTGGAATTAACAGAGGGATTATTGTTGTATAGTATCTGAGCTTCCAAACCCTCACTCCCCCCACAAGGCATGGTTCCCTCATCACATTGATTTGCACCCGTATCACATCTACACATACATACTCACATCTACACACATACACAGACACACACCAGATAAACACACTCACATCTACGCGAGCGCGCACACACACACACACACACACACACACACAGTGAATGGGAACACCTTGCCTGTGAGTAATCACAGGGAGATCCAGATTAAGAAATGATATAAGAAATAAATCAAGAAAAAGCACAGGATTGATGCCATCATCACACTTGGTGTGGAATGTCACCCAAAGCCTTGCTTCCCGCCTGCCCTTTTCCCCCACCTCGACTGGGCTCTCCCGCTCCCGCACCCCTCCACTCGCCCACACCCTGCCTCACTCCCCACACGCACTCACTGTTCTTGGCGGCTTCCTCCTGGCCCAGATTGATGTACAGGTAGCGGGGGCTCTCGGGGCAGAATGGCAGGAGGCAGCACTGCAGCACGGCCGGGGCCCCTGACAGGCCGAGTAACAGTGGCCACCAAGCGTCGTTACCCAACAGGAAGTGCAGACCCAACACCTGCACAAAGACATCAGCCCATCAGCACCCAGCGGGGCTCAGACCAGCCACTCGGCACATTTACATCGCACCAGCACAGACACGATGGGGAGAGAGAGAGAGAGCAAGGAATAGGGTTAGAGTAGAGAGCTTCAGTGGGGGAGAGAGCACCAGCACAGACACGATGGGGAGAGAGAGAGAGAGAGAGCAGGGAATGGGGTTAGAGTAGGGAGCTCCAGTGGGGGAGCGAGCACCAGCACAGACACAACGGAGAGAGAGACAGCAGGGATGGCCTCTGGATACCTGGCTGATGAGGATGCCGGTGACGATGGCTAGTTGGTGGAGGGTGCCCAGTGCCCCCCGCAGGCTGGTGGGTGCGATCTCCCCAATGTATATGGGCACCAGCCCCGAGATCAGCCCTGCGAAGAGAGGTGATGAGAGGTGATGTTACCCCCTGTTACAACACAGCCATATGAGACTACGGAGGAGCTGAAACAAGTTGTCAGAGATGCCTTTGGCCTCCTCACTCCATCCATGACACAGGAGATATCACAACCGAACATGGCCATGATGTTAACCAATTGTACTGAATACAATGAAGTACTTCTTTATACAATTGTCATCATTCTCCCACATGTTTCAGTTGTTGGTCAGTGCGGTGGGGGTGGGGGTAACAGGACTTTGTGAACACCCTGGTATTACAGTGCAGAGAGAGGCTACTGGCCCCCACCACCCACCCACCCACCCCACAGGCCAGCCGCTGCTCCCTGTATCGTCACCTTCATTATTAACCCCACGGCTTTGCTGTTGCCCCCGCACACACCCAAACTCTCACTGCCACCTGGTTATAATAAATACAATAATAATAATAATCCTTGCATTTGATACAGCATCTTATCACGTCTTTGAGACGTCGCAAAGTGCTTCACAGAATATACTGTGAAGTGGAGTGACTGCGTACTTTGTGGGAGAAACGGGGCAGACATTTGTGTACAGCAGTGTCCCACAAACAGTCATGGATTGAGTGGTTATACTGTAAAGTTTCCCGCTTCACCTCTCAACGACTCTATTGATCCGGCCTCAGCAGCCACTCGTGGGGATGAATCCCAACCCGCGACGAGGCTCCGAGTGACGGGATTCCGGCTCCCCATCCCCCCTCGATTCTCCTCCTGACGATTCCCGAAGCTCTGCCCCCACCCACCCACCCACCCCCATTCAGCTCCTGTTTCCCTGGTAAAAAAGCATCTCCTATTATCACTCCGGGTCTTGCCTCACACGGCTTTACGAAGCCCAGATATCGATGTCTCCACAGCAACTGGGCTCTGAGGTGGTTGAACGTTCACCATCTCCCCCTCAGTCAAAAGCCAACAGCGCGGGTTAAAAGAATGGTGTGAGAGCTTTTATTTCTCTGGATCTCCATCCCTCTTTCACTCGTTGCCTCCCTCTTTCCCCATCTCCCTCACCTTGTTCATTGTCCATCTCAGGATCTTCCCCTAGCCACGCCCCAGCTCGGATGCCCAGCAGCAGCAGCAGGTGAGGTTAGGTTAGGGTTAGTGTAAATTGGTGTTGGAGTATAGTTACCGCAATAAAGTCCAGTGAGACTTCGTCCCACGATGACCAGCACATGAGACGGACCCAACTTCGCCAAACCCATGAGGAGAGAACCCACCATCGCCAGACTGGTCACCACCTGCATTGCCTTCAGCCTGTAGTGAGCAACCAGCCGGTTACCTGTGTACAGCTATTTACTAACAGTCATACTGCTTACTGCCAGCAACACTAGTCGTCTGTAAAGCAAGTCACTGTGTATAGAGTGAGTTACGGTCAGCGGAGCCAGGTACGGTCAGCGGAGCCAGGTACGGTCAGCGGAGCCAGGTACGGTCAGCGGAGCCAGGTACGGTCAGCGGAGCCAGGTACGGTCAGCGGAGCCAGGTACGGTCAGCGGAGCCAGGTACGGTCAGCGGAGCCAGGTACGGTCAGCGGAGCCAGGTACGGTCAGCGGAGCCAGGTACGGTCAGCGGAGCCAGGTACGGTCAGCGGAGCCAGGTACGGTCAGCGGAGCCAGGTACGGTCAGCGGAGCCAGGTACGGTCAGCGGAGCCAGGTACGGTCAGCGGAGCCAGGTACGGTCAGCGGAGCTAGTTAAGGTGAATGGAGCAAGTTAAGTTGCTGACCTCCCCAGCTTGTCTGCGATCCACCCGATGAAGAAAGAGGAAATCATGCCCCCGATACAGAAGATGGAGACGGAGAGCGCCCAGTACATGCCGATGTCCGGGTGTCCGTACGGTGGGGAGCCCTGGCTCACGTTTCCGGCCACCGTCTCGTTCTCCACCAACAAACCCAGGACGTGGGCATAATGTCGCTCCAGAACCTACAGAGAGAGAGAGAGCGGTGTCACCTCTCCTCACCCCAGTCTGGTCAACAGCAAGAGAGAGCTCCAGTGGAGGAATGAGCCCCAGCACAGACACGATGGAGAGAGAGAGAGAGCCGGGAATGGGGTTAGAGTAGAGAGCTCCAGTGGGGGAGTGAGCACCAGCACAGACACGATGGGGAGAGAGAGAGCAGGGAATGGGGTTAGAGTAGAGAGCTCCAAGACCAAATAATAATAATAATAATCCTTGCATTTGATATAGCGCTTTTCACGTCGGGAGGACATCCCAAAGCGCTTCACAGAATATACTGTAAAGTGAATTGACTGTGTATTTGTGGGCGAACGCGGCAGCCAATTGTGCACAGCAATGTCCCACAAACAGTCGTAGATTGAAAATGACCAATTTATTATTGTTTTGTTTTTGGAGGGATTATTATTAGGTGTGTGGAGTAAGGAAACTTGCCCAAGGTTTCGCCCTGTCTGGGATTGAATCCAGGTCTCTTTGACCTTCTCTTTGACCGAGCCTTCAGCTCCCCTCTCGACTCTCTTCCCCCTTCTCGCTCCCTCCCATCCCTCCCCTCACCCTGACCATTTCCCCCCTCCTCACTCCCTCCCCTCCCCTCACCCTGACCATTTCCCTCCTGCTCGGGTCATGACCCAACTGTGCAGCGCCTTGGGACGTCCTCCTGACGTGAAAGACGCTTTATAAATGGAATCTTGTTGTTGTTGTTGTCTCTCGCTTGCAAAGTGAGTGCTCTAACCACTGAGCTACAGGACTCCATAATAGCTGCAGATTTTGCTCACAGAATCTACAGTCACTACACATGACAGACTGGGAAGTGCGTTTGGGATCTTTGTGCACCGTGTTTGGTGACGGACCAGGGTTCCCGAGGCCAGGGGTGAGGAATGGTGGTTACCTTCTGTGGAGCATTGATGACACCGAGACCGTAACCGAACTGAAAGGATCCAAGCACCGCCGTAAAGATGGCCAGCATCAGCATCCCAGTGATCTGCTGTGACAGATAATAATAATAATAAAATAATAATAAAATAATAATAAAATAAAGAGGAATATAAGAATAATACAAACAATAGTAATAACAATAATAGTCCTTGCATTTGATATAGCTCTTTTCACATCTTCTCGACGTCTCAAAGCGCTTCACAGAATATACTATAAAGTGAATTGACTGTATATTTGTGGGTGAAACGCGGCAGCCAATTGCGCACAGCAGCGTCCCACAAACAGTCATGGATTGAAAATGACCAATTTATTATTGTTTTGTTTTGGAGGGATTATTATTAGGTGTGTGGAGTAAGGAAACTTGCCCAAGGTTTCGCCTCCTGCCTGGAATTGAACCCAGGTGTCTCGCTTGCAAGAGCCTTATCATGTCATTGAGACATCTCAAAGCGCTTCACAGAATATACCGTAAAGTATCGAGACTATGTGTATAGTGGGGGTGAAATGCAGCAGCCAAATGCGCAGTCATGTCCCGCATAGATTGAGTGACTACTTCTCTTTTGTGGGGTTTGTGAGGGATTATTACCCTTGGAGAGTGATCCGCCAATCGACTTAGAACCGGGTATCAACTTACTGCACAATAAACATTTTAATACAAAAATGTTGATGGCTGAGATGAGGAGGAATGTTGACTGGACTCGAGGTGGGTAGTGCGGGAGCCCTGGGGGGGGAATTGTTCTCCTCCCCTCAGCCCAAGGGCACTGAGGCCAGTTGGCAGGGAGGCTGGGAGCCCTGCTCCCAGAGAGCCCCCTCCTCACAGGAGGTTCAATGGGAAACCTGAGGGTTTCCTGGGGTTGGGCACAACCCACATCAGCCTCCCTCCCCACGCACAGAGCCCACCCAACATTGCCTTTAATAGTTAAAGGGGTAGTGAGATCTCACAATCAGCCACCACCTCCCAGCGTTCCTGCCCAAAGCTCCCCGCCACCACACGTGTCCCAGCTTGTGTGTGGCTCAATGTGTCTGTGTGTTTGTATGTGTGTGTGTGTACCTGCGTGTCTCAGTGTTTGTGTGCGTGTGTCTCGTTCCATATGTCTCTGTCTCACTCAGTGTGTGGGTGTGTCTTTGTGCCCCAGTGTGCATCTTTCGCTGTCTCACACAGTGTGTGGCTCAGACATGAAGAACGACTACACACCATCCTATCATTCTGCGCCCTCCCCAACCCCCGCACCCCCTCCCCGCATGCCCAGCGAGAGGCTCTAAATCAGGAGTTATGAAAAAATAATAATAATCCTTGCATTTGAAACAGCGCCTTATCACACGTCTCAAAGCACTTCACAGAATATACTGTAAAGTGATTCGACTATATTTTGTGGGCGAAACACGGCAGCCAATTGTGCACAGCAGCGTCCCCACAAACAGTTATGGATTGAGTGACCAAATTATTATTTAGGTAAAACAACAACAAGATTACATTTGTATAGAGCCTTTCACATCGGGAGGAGATCCCAAGGCGCTGGACAGTGTACAGCATTTCAGACCCGAGCTGGGGTTGGGGGGAAAGGGAGGGGAGGGGAAGGGGGGTTGGCCGATGGCATGGTCGAAGAGGGGGGACTTGAAGGAGGCTAAGGAGAGGGCGAGGCGGAGTGATTGGGGGATGGAATTCCAGAGGTTGGGGGCAGAGTGGCTGAAGGCTCTCCCGCCAATGGTGGGGCGGGTGGATCGGGGGGTGTGGAGCAGCCAGAGCCAGCTGAGCGGAGGGAGCGGGCGGATTGGTAGGGGGTTAGGAGGTCACAGAGGTAGGGTGGGGAGAGGCCATGGAGAGCTTTGAATGTGAGGACCAGGATCTTGAACTGGATCCTCTGAAGGCTAGGGAGCCAATGGAGTCGGGCGAGAGTGGGGGAGATGGGGTCACGGAGTTTGGTAAAAGGTAAAAGAGAAAGGATTTCATGTGTCAGTGAGCAGATCAATTTAAGATCATCACCAAAAACACCAAAGACACACACACACAAATGTACACACAGACACAAATATTTACACACACAGGATACACACAGACACACACTTTTACGCACACAAACACACAGAAGCACAGACGGACACACTCAAACACACAGTTACTAGGATGTGGAACATCCAACCGAAAACATTAGTTGAAGCAGAATTCACAAAAGCTTTTAAAAGGGAATTAAGGACATTTCGGGTAGACGTTAAAAATCCCACAACATTATAAGAAATGGGGAGTTTCTCTCTCTCTCTCCAAGTGTCCTGGCCAACAATCCCCCCCCAGATAAACATCTCATTCAGCTCCTGACTGTGTGTCGGAGATATCTGGGATTACAGAAAACACTCAATGGTAATTACACAAAAGACCCAACTTCCCAGGAAGTCCAAATTAAGAATTCTCCACATGTTTGCACATTCGAATATTCTAAAGCAGAATATTTTTGCAGACTAACTGGCTGCCTTGTTATGTCCCTTGTCCCAGGGTTAGTACTAATCACAGAGGCAGAGCAGAACCACACACACAAAAAAAATGGTCACTCAATCCACAACTGTTTGTGGGACACTGCTGTGTGCAATTGACTGCCATGTTTCACCCACAAAATACAGTCACTATATTTGCAATATATTTTGTGAAACATCTCAACAACGTGATAAAGTGCTATATCAAATGAGAGGATTATCATTTTTCATTAATTATTATTAATGCATCATTATAGCTCTCTGGCTTCAAATATCCTTTACAATCCTCCCACTGAAGTGAATGTGGGGGCAAGGGTGGTGGGGATGATGCTGTGTTCTTCTGCTGCCTTCCCCACTGCCCCCTCTCTGGTGTCTGCAATGCTCTACTCTCTCGGTCATCAATCCTCGCTGCCTCTCTAGGGCACTGCTGATGACAGCACAGCCCAGCCTGGCTCAACGGCAGGACCTGGAAGGGCCGACCAGTCACTGGGGCAGGGAATCCTCCCACTCAGCTCCTGTTAACCCTGCAGCCAAAACCCTAATGGGTAGGGTGGTCCTATCTGGACAAGCAGCGGGAAAGTTTGCCAGACAGTATTATCAATGGCAAGCTGTGTAGTTTTAGCTGGTTGGACTCCAGAAGTTATCCCAACACACACTCTGGGGTTCCAAAGCCT